TTTGGGGTCTTGATCAATGGGAACTGCAGAAAAAAATCCCTCTCTCTCTCTCTGCCTCTCCCCTAAGTTTCTTCCTTCTCCATCACCAGCACCGGCTGCCTAGGTGTGTTATCCCAAAATGTTTTCCCTCCCTCCAAAAAGAAAGCGGATCACCCAGCCAGATTTGGAAACCACCATGCTGTAAGCAGTAATGGGATGGAAACTGGGGTCATCCAAAGACAGCTGCCACCAGGGCCCAAATTTACGAAGAGCCCACTGTAAAAGTGGGGTGGTGCCATCACTCGTGAAGTCCTGCAGCTGGGGGTATGCCTGTCATGGGCATACTGGGAAGTAGCACTTAATGTTGGGGGTAAATCCTCCTCCATTGGACAGCGGAGACATTGTGCACTGTGCTGTTCAGTGGGAGACTGCTCTATAACCAGCAATGTTTCAGCCCTGGATAACGTAAGCCTTGATTTCCATCTTGCAGTGAGCACTTCTGAACAGAGATGACTGAGTTTGGGGATGGAGGAAGGACAGGGAAACTTCTCAAGGTCTCCACCAGTGACGTTTGTCATTCCTGCTAGAAGTTTAATTGAGATCCCCGTTAAGTCTTTCTCCAACAGCTTTCTGCTCAAGTGGTGTGTTATGTTAGTGCTTACACTGTAAATAGTAATAATAATGATAGCAATCAAGAGGGCTGTTCAGCAAGGTTGTGCTATGGTCGTGCTTGTTTTTCTTAAGGTGTATGTGTCTTTGGGAGGTGGGGGTTGAACAGGACAGCAAGTTCTCTAGCAGTGGGCTGTGGAAGTAACAAGCATGGACCATAACCAGCCACAGTCAATAAGATACTTTTCCTACCTTTCTGCCAGAAACCAATGAAAACATGTTACAGAAATTCCAGCCATTTGGATAAAGCTTCCTGCTCTGCTCTGTGAAGTCAGCAGGCAGGGAGGCAGTGTTCCCACATGCCCCACACCCACATGTGAACACACACCCCTGCCCTGTGGGGAACTCACACATCTCCAACGCATCTGAAGCGTGGAAGCACCTGGGCTGGGTTTTGGCCCAGATGCAGGAAAGTGCCCGGCTGCTCTAGGTGGTATCTGTTGAGGACAGCAGACAGACAGACAGAAGCAGTCTGCAGCTTTCCAGAACTGTGCCTGGTATTTTGCTACGCTGCATGCTTTCTGTGGGGGCAGAGTGAATGGGTTGGAAATGGCTCCTGCTAGAGAGCAACCTTTGGTCAGTCCAAAGTGGGGAGAGGGACGGTGCCCTCAGCCTGGGGCAGAGGACAGTCCACATGCTGCTATGAGTATTTTCTGTCTCTCAGGGCTCATGGGAGACTGCATGGATTTGGACATCCACACCACAGTCCTTCTGGCCTAGCCTGTGTCAGGACCATATGCAGATGCTCACCCCTTTTTCCCTGGGTCCTCCGTGGGCACCGCAGCATCAGATCCGACAAAAGGCCACAGGCTGGCTTTGAGTTGAGTTTAGTCTCCTGCTTTGGCTGTACAGTCAGCATCCTCTTCAGATGGCTACAGCCAAAGTCTCATCTCCAGAGTAACCAAGCATCCTTGTCTTGGCCAGCAATGTCATTCTTCTGTGTGGCCAGTGAGCCTGGGACTTCCTCTTGAGAAGGGATGGAGGTGTGAAAACCACCTCCCGCTTCCCAGTGTCCCCAGGCTGGGAACACAGTGAGCAGGGCCTTCCTGCCAATGCCTTGTGCCTATAGCTGAAATAGAGACATGCAGCATGCTCTGCCTGTGCAAAGAGCCGCCTGCCTAAAACCCAGTCGCTGGTTTGGCAAGGTGGGTGGGAGCAGGCAGAAAAGGGCTGTGCAGCAGGCCAGATGCCGACAGCAAGGGAGGAGGAAACCCAGCCTCCTTCCTCAGTTGCAGACAGGCACAATTAGGGCTCTTTGGGGGAAACTGGGAGTTGCTGCTGCTGGCATCTCCTCAGGAGCAGAGGTGCAGCGGTGCCAATGCTGCCTGCCACGAGCCAGCCAGGGCAGCAGATGGAGGTTAATGAGCAAGCTGGAGGGTGAGGATGAGTGTAGGGGCTCTGGAGATGCTGACAAGTATGTCTGGTCCTGGATGCTGGCCGATGCAGATGATCCAGCCAGGAGCCAAAGGGGGGCACTGCAGGGTGTAGTCTGCCCTGGCTTTGCCTTTCCCTCCTGTGTTGGCATCAGCAGGGTCCCTCACCAGCTGCCCAGAGCTTGTCAGAAGCTTCTGTGTCAAGAGACCTCTGCCCTTCAATTTGTCAAAATTGGCTTGTTAGTATCAAATTAGGGAATAGATAGGTGTGTGAGCAGGGAGTGCTTCAGCCTTGTTGCTGAAGGAAATTAGGCTATAAAAATCATCAGAGGGTGGATGAAAAGGATCCCTCCAAGGCATCCATGGGGTAATTCACTGGGAATCAAAGACCTGAACTTAGACACCACTGCTGAGTAGCAGATGGAGGAGGCCTACCACATCCCTTGCTGTGCTCCTGCTTGACCTATGGGTGCCAGGGCGGGTGAAGAGGGTCTCTTCCAGGTGTCTTTTTGGTCCCACACTGCACTGGAGCTAGGAGCTAGGCAGCTTTCCATGTATGCTAGCCCTCAGCTCCCTCTGCAGAGCCCTGGGCTCCTGTGGCTCCTTCTCATCTCCCCTTGCTGAAAGGGCTCCACATTAGTTCCCAGTTTGCTCTGGGGCACCTTGTGGGAAGCAGGGAAATAAGGTGTTTGCAGAGGCTGAAGCTGCTGCAAACACCCATTGCACATCAAATCCTGGGGACTGGACACCCCGTGCTGTTTTTCTGACTGACCCTCACTGCCTTGTTTGTTATTTTAGGTTTCCCTAGGTAGCTGTGCCATTCGTGTTTGTTATTGCAGAGGTAATGAGCTGTGTCCCTCTTGTGTGATTGCAGGGTTGCCTGCCCCGGTGTGAATCCTGCCCTTAATTATGGTCAGTAGATGCCCTGGCTCTGCCTTCTGTGGCTCTGGCAATGTGTGCCAGAGGGGATTCCCGGGACAGATCACAGCATGCTTCGTTGCCGTGGAAGGGCTTAGTCACTGCGGCTGTCTCCGGTCTCTTTTCGGACCTTGGATGCTGCAACTTCTTTGAGGCAAAGCATTCACTTCTGCTGCACCTTGTACAGTGACATTTCCTGGAGAACAAGATCATTCCCAGTTACAACAATCTATTCCCTATCCCTTGTCTGTCATCCCCTCAAAATAGAGGAGCCCAGAACTGTAGGGCCTTTGAGCCCTGCAGCAAGAGAGAAACCCCAGGCATATGCACATCGTGGGGCAAAATAGCAAGAGGACCCTGTCCTGGAGAGATGTGTGAGTCCTGGGGATGGTGCATGGGGTCATTTAAGTGGTGTGGGCAGTTAGGAGGGTGCTGAGTCTGAGATGCTGATCCAGCCCTATTCTTGTGGAAAGAGAAAACAAAGAGAAGTTCTGCTTTAACAAATAAGTGGCCGTGGAAAGCTTCCGGGTTCTGTTGGGAGAGGGCAGGTTCACCTTGTCAAGGAGGAAGAAGAGACGGGGAGCCGTGGCAGGCTTGGGGACCCAGTGACCAGCCTGTCCCCTGGGCCACCTCCAAGACCCCGTTGCGATGTGTGTGACGGGCCGGTGCTGCCATCTGCCGCTGAGCAGCGCGCCTGTCCCTGTCTGTGCCTGTCTGTCCCCCGCCACCGGGCATCCCCAGCGCAGCCCGGAGGGGCAGAGGCATTTGCCTTCCCCCTGGGCGGCATCTGGGCTCCGGGAAGCAGCCGGTCTGCAGAGAGACTCCTGTTTGCCTTGTTGGGGTGGGAGGTTATCTGTTTTTATTCTCATCCTAAGACTTTTTCTTTTGTCCCAACTGTGATGTTGGTAGGAGAGGCAAAATTAGTTCCCTGCTGACTTCACCATAGGGTTGCAGGAGGGAATGAGCCAGGTTCACTGGAGTCGTGGTAGACACCTTGCAGGGAGGGATTTCAGTGACTCTGTGCTTTTCCTTCTGCTGCTGTGGGTTTCGCTGTGCTCACCCGCCAGACCTAGCACAAGCCTGGTGTTAGTGCAGTGTTCCTGGGAACGAGGGGCTGAGAGAGCAGGAGCCTCAAGAGCTTTAAACTCTATTCCAATTTAGTCCAGAAATAACCCTTTTTCACTCTGGTGGCTGTACTAAATGTCACAAGTCATCTAAGTTTAGACTGTCACCAGCTCGCTCCTATATATAACCACACAGTGCCCCTGCCTGCATCCCGCCGGCACAGGTCACGCTGGGGCGATCCGAGGGATCTATAGGAAGACAACTGCCATGGACAGAGCCTGAACGTGCTGTCAGTACCATTGGTGGCAGCTGCAGTCAGGCAGCTTTGCTGTCACCCCACGCTTCGCTGGCTGCTTAGTGTGTGCCAGCAGACAGGGCCTGGTTCAGTCCTGTCAGCATGGGGCTGCAAGTGGAATTCCCAGGAGATCCCAGCACTTGTCAGCCAAACTTTGGCATTGCTGCTGAAGGTCTGCCCAGCTGAACAGTGGCTTTGCTATGTGATTGACCTTGACTTTGGAGTTGTCGTATCTTTGAGCATCCCTGGCTTTTGCTCTTCCATCTCTAGGTGGGGTGGAGTGTGAAGTTGTCACTTAATCCTCTCACCATGGCTAGAGGGGAGCTTCTCTGCACATTTTGTGTCTCATCTGGTCCTTACTGGGTGTGAGAGAAACCTTCCACCAGTCTTTTTACACTGACACACTGCAGACGATGGTGGTCTTATATGTAGGAGCCTATCTTACACTCCCAACTCTTCCATGCCCTCAGATACCTTCCTATCCTGAGCTTGGGGATCACACAAAAGCCATGCCAAGTCCCACACAGTGGGGTAAAGCCAGGGCTGTAGGCAGCAGTTGGGAAAGGGATTTATTTGGTCTCTTGTTCCTATGCTGCCTAATGCAAAGATGTCCTCTGGGGTTGGGCAGGAGGCTCTCTGTGCCAAAGCAAGCCCCAGTCAGATGATGGAGACCTGACAGTTTGGTACCCCTTCTCTTCCAGAACGGGAGTCCCGAGAGCATGAGGAGCCGACCACGTCGGAGATGACAGAGGAGACCTACCCACCCAAGGCCTACCGGCCCAAGCATGGGCGCCTCTCTGAGCTCAAGGCTGAGGCCCTGAAGAAGGACCGCCGTAAGAAGCTGACCCTGGCTAAGTTTGTGGGCATGGCAGAGAACACGGCGCATCCTCGTGTTGTCATCCCTGAGCTCCGGCAGGAGTTTGAGCTGGTGGGTGCCTTCACCTTCCCTCCATGGGGCTCCTGTGGGCAGGGGGCTGTGGGAAGGCTTTGTCCCCCTGGGGAGCAGGTGCCAGTGTGGGGACAGGGGACCTGGGGCATTCGCAGCTGGAGGCTTGCTGTGAGGTTCTCCCCTTCTCACACTCCATCTTCTCCCTACTGGCAGGGTCCCTGCCGCAGGCACATGGAGGCATCCCTGCAGGAGCTGAAGAGCAGCCAGCGGATGGTTCCCCGTGCCGTCCACCTCCCTAACTGTGACCGAAAGGGCTTCTATAAGAGGAAGCAGGTAAGAGCCCTGTGGAGAGATGCTCCCCATTTAGGGAGGCCTTTTTCTGCTGCTGCCCTGGGTGGAAAGTACGGAGGTTTTCCTCTGCTGGGCTGGTGGGAAGACATGTTTAGTGGTGGGTGGCCTTGCTGATGGCTTCATGTGCCATTTGGCCTGAAGCGAGCAACCTGAAGGAACTTTTTAGGGAGGAGGAAAAGTCAGAGAACCCTAGGGTGAATTAGCAGTGGGGATGGAGATTTGCTGAAAGCAGAGAGCAGGAGCTAGGTCCTACCCAGGGAATTGCATTGCTGAGGTGAAAGGGGCAAAGCACAGTGGTGATCCTGGTCTCGAGCGCAAGGGAGCCACACAGCGTCTGGTGGCCAGCTCCTGATCTCTGCTCTTGGTTGTCTCTGCAGTGCAAGCCCTCCCGAGGCCGGAAGCGTGGGTTGTGTTGGTGTGTGGACAAATACGGCATGAAGCTGCCAGGGACTGACTACCTGAGCGGAGACCTGCAGTGCCACGCGTTCGACAGCAGCAACGTGGAGTGAAGTCACATCCCCTCCCTCCGCCCCATCACTACCTACCCAGGCTCCCTTCCACCCTCCCCTCCGCACCTCCCCGCGCCCCGGGACTCCGACTCCTTTCATCTCATGTAAGAAGAAAAAAAGACAGGAAAAGAAAAAAGAGAAAGGAAGGAAAAGGAAAAAAAGAAAAAGAGGAAGAGAAGGAAAGAAGTAAACAAAGGAAAAGCAAAGAGAAAAGAAAAAAGGAAGAAGAAAGAAAAGAAAGGAAAAAAGAGAAAAGAAAGGAAGAGAAAAGGAAAAGAAAGGAGAAAAGAGAAAAAAAGAAAAGAAAAAATAAGAGAAAAGAAAGGAAGAGAAAACTAAAAAGAAAAGAAAAAGAGAAAAGGAGAAAAACAAACCCTGAAGAAACTGAGGACTCGGAATCTGCAGCAGCCTCTTGACGACAAGGACTCAGCAAGGAAAGGACAAACCAGTTGCGGCCACTCCACTCCATCTTGCACTGACCCGTGCCTCTCCCAGTGCTGCTTGCACCTCCCTGCTGCTTGAGCAGAGGCTTCCACTTGTAGGAAGCTCTCTGAGTTGGTGATATTCCAGTATGGCTTTCGAGCAGGTTGATTTTATTTGGGAGGTAGGAGGAGTAGATATTTTTTGTCTATAGGGTCTCAAGAGAAAACCTGGTGGCTCCCAGCATCCTCCCTCCTTGCTGCAGTCCTCCAGAGTCTCCTCCCCACATCACTGGGACTCACTTGACTCTATTTGGTTTCCGTCTCAAATGACTGCCCCAGATCAAGGCAGATTTCAACGCATCGGGAGGAGGCATGGGACTGCTAGGTTTTTGTCTGGAGATGAGCCGGGGAGGGAAACACAGCTCCTGCAATGGCATGAATACCCCTGCAAGAATACTGGTGGGCTTTGAAATCATCCAAAAAGGAAAGATACCCTTCTCCATCCAGTTCCTCTCAAATGGGAGGTCAGAAATCTTTTTGGACAAGCAGGACTCTGACCATTGTCCATCCAGGTGTGGAAGCACTTGTTTCCTGTGTGCATGTGTGCAAGCATGTGTGTGCACTGATGTGGCTTTTCCTCCTTGCAAAACTTTGCCTTGAAACCTGCAATTTGGAGGGCTTCACTCTTAAGCAGGGGGAAAGATGCTGCCCCTCCCAAAGAATAATAACCTGATGGACTAAGCATGGGATCAGAGTTACAGAAGAGCATCAGTGCCTGTGGGATCAGGGTCACACCAATGCCGAGGGCTGCATCCAAGCTGACCCTACAGATACTCCATCACTGTCCAGGCTGAAGCATCTGTACATGAGGACAGGGGAATTGGGGCCAAAACTCTTCACCACCCTTCGCTGCCATGAGGAAGACTAACTATGGAGATTTCTTTTTTAATTTTGTTTTCCACAGCCAAAAAAGGGGTTTGCTCCAGGGAAGGGGAAAACCAAACCTACATTTCGTTTTGCATTGGATTTTTGTTAAGGCTGGTTTATAGCCTTCCCCATGGGTAGGAAAATGCTGGTCTCCATCCTTTTGCTCATGTTGCCACAGCTGACTCCCACCACCCTGCAGAAAGATACTGCAACAGGCCCTCGCCTTAAACATGGAGATCTCAGTCCTTGTTGAGTGACAGCAGCCACCGCACCATGGAGACCCACTGCCTCAGGCATGCTGGCGCAGCCCTCGGCTGCCTTCCTGACTTTTTCATTTTTACGTTCAATTTCAGGACTCTTGCCTTTTGCTTCCCCATGACAAGGGTCTCTGCGATGTTGCCACTGGGAAGAGATCCTGCAGCAAAGGAAGGAAAGGAAAGCAAACCGTGGCATCTGGCTGCTGCAGTCCCAGTGGGCAAATAACACACCCACTGTGGACCACATCCCACTGCCATGGCTGGAGCTGGCAGAGGCCACTGGCCAAAGGACACAGCTGATCTCGGCGGGAAGGTTTCTGCACCCCAAAGCCCTTTTGAGCATCCCAGGCCTGGGCATAGAAGACAGGGAGTCCACAGCACCACTGGGTCCCTGCCAGCAGGGATGGGACAAGGGGGATTTAGTGACAAGGGGGTCTGGTGGAGGCTCCTCTCCGTCACCGGTGAGGTGCTCTCATAACCTCCCATGGCATGGCATCATTCTCTGGAGCACCTTACGGGCACCCCACCGAGACACTTGCCCCAGTCAAGGGAAGGACTGGATGTCCCACAGTTACTTCATTTGGAGTTGCAGCAGGGCGAAGTTTGCCAACGGACTTCAGTGGAGACCCAGTGAGGCATCTTCCCTTGCTGAAAAGAAGGGAGGGTTCCACCAAATGCAGATCTGCTGCCCTCAAAAGAAACTGCCAGAGCAGGATGATCCTGTGTTGCTGGAGGGGGAGAATGGCGGGTGCTGGGGCCAAGGGAGGAACCCCTCTGGGCTCTGCAGGGCTGATGAAGCAGGGTTGGTTTGACCAGGGTGGTGGGTTAATGGTGCAGTGAAGGTGGGGTGAAGAATTTAGTGATGACAGCAGATGATGGGGAGCTCATGCTAACCCCAAGGGCCACAGGTTGCCATCATCAGTGCTGTCCCCATCTCCTCTGCTCACTGATCCCTCTGCAAAACCTCCGGTTATAGGCCAGTACACCTTCCCCAGGACCCTTCCCTCCTCTCTCTCTCTCTCTCTCTCTCTTTTGCTTTTTTGTTTGTTTGTTTGTTTTGTTGTTTAATTTCCCAAAACTTGAAAGCCTTTGGCTGCAGAGAAAGGAGATGTGCTGCCGGGGCGGGATGGGAGCTTCTGCAAGGTGAGGCTCAGCTCACGGGGCCTGGTGTGGTCTCATGATGTGGCCACCACAGTGACACTGGGAGGGGCATTAGGGTGCCTCCCTGACCTCTCCCTACAAAGCAAGTCTCGGCCATGGCCTGGGAGATCAAAATCCATCCCAGCCTCCCTCCCTGCTGCACATCCATTGCTGGGACAGCACTGCCTGTCCTGTCCCCACCAACCTGGGGGAGGAGGATGCAGGAGGGGACTGCCTAAACCACCTTTGGCCCCCCAAACCACCTTGGCTCCTGGGACGAGGCACCAGGTGAGCCCCCAGCTGCCCAGTCCCTCCATGAACCCTGGCCAGACGAGGCTGTTTGCAGGCTGCACTAATTATTTAGGACCAGGGTTGGAGCCTGGGTCAGGGTGGAGGCAAGAACAGCTTCAGGAGGGATGGCAATGACAAAGTGCTGCCATTCTCAGCACCCAGCAGCACCCCTTTGCATTTAGGGTGAGAAAAGCAAAAGGGGGAGATGCGGGAGCTGGGGGGGGGAATGGGTAGGAGGGGGTAAGGCACGTGGAAAGATGCTGGCGATTGGTGCATAAGGGAGAGGTGTGAGGCTCGGGGGCCTCCAGCCACAGTCTTTGCACTGAGCCTGCACTGGTACTCGGTATGCGAGCTGAGGAAAGAACACAGATGGCGCAGGGGTCAGGAAAGCCCTTCTACCACATCTCCCTGGGGAGCGGCACTCAGCAGCTGGGCTACCCCTTGTCTGTACTGCAGTGGACCTCAAAAACCACTAGTACAAGAGCATTTTGCACTATTTCTCTGCTCTCCCCCCTTCTCTTTTTCTCCACCTTCCCCATGAAAACTTTTTTGCTGTTGGGTGTTTTTGGGGTTTTGGTTTTTTTTTTTTGGTTGTTACTGATTTTAGGGTTTTTTCCCAAATGGAGCATTGTATATTTAATGATCGACAGTTCACTTTGCTTCCAGACCGCTGTCCTGGCCATGGCTAGGATCCCTGCCTCCTGTGCCCCCCTCTCCAGCCCCGCCAGCCCCCCACCACTGCCAATGGGACAGGCATCACTGCGCACATTACCCACTGTTGTAACACAGTTGTTAAAACACACCAGATTCCGAGTTTCCTGCCTGGTTTTTATCTTTAGCAATACTCACTACACATTTTACGGTAGCTTTTTATAGCTTTACATACATACAGTAGCTCTGTTGTTTCGTTTCGTTTTGTTTTTGTTGTTTTGGGTGTTTGTTTTTTTTTCCAGTAAACAAGAAATACTCATAATCTTACTGGTGGGAAAAAAAAAAAAAAAGCAGTTTGTGAAAAACTGACAATGGAAGAAGAGCTTAATGCTCTGTTTAGCATTTTGTACTTTAAAAAATCTCACATTTTATTAAAAAGTGAAGATTGCTGTATACTATTTATTCAACTTATAATTTATGTTACTCTTTGATCTTTGTCTTTTCTCATGACAAAGCATTTATTTAATAAAGTTATGCATTCAGTTAGCTTGTGCCTGACCCTCCTGGAGCATCTGTGTGCTGGAGCCTGCTAGTGAGGGGCTCTGTCCCCGAGCATCCCCTGGCCCTGTGCCCCTGGGGACTCAGCCAGCTCCATAGGGGTACCAGGGGAGGTACAGGGCCTGGGGCAATGGTTTAGGAGAGCTTTCAATACTGGAGCAGTGTGCTTAGTCAGTGGTAAAACTGAAGTTTTGAGTTTACAACACACTTAAGCAGAGCTGCCCAATTTTTTAGAAACACCTTTACATGGGTATGACAGCAGGGCACACACTGCACTCAGATGGCTTATGTGGGAGAGGGATGCTACTAAGCCCCTAGATGCTTGCCCAAACTGAGTCCTGCAGTTTGGGATTGGATGTGATGTTTGAGCCTCAGACCTCTGGGCAGCTGAAGTAATACCACAGTGTCCTGGAGCATTCCTGTGCCATCCATGAGGCAGCCCAGCCCAGCCAGGTCCTCGGACACCTCGTGGTAGCCCTTGGTGGCCCTTTGCTCTACCCTGTGTTCTCCTGAGTGCTGGATCTGACCCTCCCTGTGCCCATTTAGCCATCACCCTTCATCTTCCCATTCACCCCCTCATCTCCCTCCTCCTGTGCCCCCATCCCCTCCACCCACGCGGCTGCCAGCATCACCCCATGTGCCCGGGGCAGGGTGGGAGGCAAAATCTTCCCCGTTCCCCTCGCTGTGCCAACACGTATCCCCCATCCCATTTGCACCACCCAGGGCTGTCACAGCCACCCACTCCCTCCTCTCCCCATAGCACAGCTGGGGCCAAACATGCTGCCCCAAGCGACAGAGGCAGGGGGGTCCGAACCCCGCTGCACCCCCGTGCCGCGCCGCTAGGCTGGACCCGCTGCCTCAGCCCCCCCGTGGCGCGGGAGCCGCACGGCACGGCAGCGGCACCAGGCGGCGCTGGGCAGCGAGGCGCTGCTGCTGCTTCCAGCCACACAGGCACTGGAAATGGATGGGCTTTC